GGGCAGCTGAGACCTGACCCTAGACGTCCCGGACTCCAAAGGCCGCTCCACTGCCCGCTGCCCCTTGTCAGGACCCGGCCCACGCCCTGAGGCTCGGTGGAGGGTGGGAGCCCCGTGCCCGCGGAGGGAGGGCTGTGAGAGGTGGCGAGGTCTCCACCGCGGCCGTCGCCGCCCACCTGGAGGCTCTGGTGATGCTCTTCCAGCTCTTCGTCACTGAAGCCAGTCCCCAGCTGCAAGGAGGACAGGTGGATCAGCAGCGCGGCGCTTCCTCCCTGCTCCTGCCCGAGGAGCCCCACCCAGCTCCAGCCTAACCGGTACCCACAGAAACCCCAGGGGAAGGGCCAGGGGCACCGGGCATCCAACCAGTCCCTCGCCGACCCTGGATGGGAAGCGACTCTCCCAGCTGCCCGCCCTGCTCCTTCTGCTCCGTGTCTCCCGGGCCCAGGAACTCGCTCCCTCGGGCCGCCCACATCCCACCTGCCCCGTGACTGTATCACCTCCACACTTAACACTGTCAACGGCTTTCCTCCGCCTACCAAAGAGTAAAAGCTTTATAAAAAATACTGTTCCGTGCCCCACACACTTGTGGCAAGATGGACACCTTCAAACAAGCCATACGAAATTTCAACCAGAAGCCCTGTTTGTATTCAGAGTCCTAAAAACTTTTCTCACCTTTGTCCTGGCAACAGGTCCTTAAAAAATCTACTCTAAATAATGTAAAATGGTGACAGATCGGTGCCCAAAGATATCTGAATTGTAAAATCACCTCTATCACAGATTACACGGGTCGATGTATGTACAATGCTGACTTATTTGTATGAAAAAAGCTGGCAACAACTTAACTATCGCCAGGGAGCCGCTTCAGGACACTGGGGCACGTCTACTTGGAAACCTTCATGTGAGCTTCAAGTCACATTTATAAAAGCCCTGAATGGCAAGTGAAAACACTAACATTTCTTACCACGATACTACTTACATACATTTGATAACATTTAAAGTATTTATATGGCAAAAAAAAAGCAGAAGATTACTCATCTAGAAAGATCAGAAGTTGGTAAAAATACAAAGAAAACATCCCCTCAAATGTTACTAGCAGTTTCCTCCGGGCAGTGGAATTATGGGTGACTGTTTTTTTCTGTTTCTTTAGCAAAAGCCCCAAATTTGTTCAATCAGTGATGTGGGAAGCTTAAAGCAGAAACAAAACCACTCCGTTTTCCAGGCTCCCTCGCAGATGCGGTGGGCCACTGAGCAAAGTTCTGACTAAGGCGATTTAAGAAAAAGTTGCTCTCTGGCTGAGGCTGCCCCAAGTGGTCCTCGGCCTCTCCTGCCCATGGGCCTTCCTTCCTCCTTCCTGCTGTTTGGAGCATGCCTAGCCACGATGGCTGGAGCCCCTGCAGCCACATTGTGAAGAGAAGGCCAGAAGCTCATGACAAAACCCGTTCTGGGGAAAGAGGAGCCTGGGTCCATAATGACCCTGGAGTGCTGCCTGCCCTCCTCTGGAATTCTATTTCCATGAGAGAAAAAGAAATCCTTCTCTCATTGAAGCTACCATTTTCTGCCTCTGCAGCACTCAACTCCTAACTGACTCAGCTTTCTTACACTTTTTAGAGTGACCCATTTCTCTCTACATTGAAGTAAGAGTTACTCATAAAATCAGAAAAAGCACATGAGAACTAGAAGTAATCCTTGGCAGGGAAGACCTGTGAGCCTCTCGGTCCGGGCCCTCCCCAGGTTGGGCGAGTCTCCCTCCCGCCTGCCCTGCAGTCAGCCAGCCCCGGCCCCGGCACCTTGCATATGGCCTGCAGCTCCTCGCTCTCCTCGTCATAGGAGGCCAGCAAGAAGCCCCCGTACCGGCCGGCCCGCTTTCCCCGGCCCAGGTAGGCGCCGATCACCACGAGGTCCAGGGTGTCGCCCACGCCATCAAGGTAGTCCTTCTTCAGCTGGGAGGAGGGGAGGCAGGAGATGAGGGTGGGGGTGTGGCAGCGTGGCCCCCACTGCTGGAGGGGAAGCGGCGGAGGAGGAAGGGCTGGGAGAAAAAGCTGAGGACAGTCCCTAGGAGGACATTGGACAGGGAATGGGTTTCTTGGCTGAAAGAGCTAATGAGAAAGAGGCAACTAGAATGGGGAGGCTAGGCGGGACGGAGGGGACAGGTGAGACGTGGAGACCTCGGGGTCACCCAGACCCCCCTTTCCTTTGGCGTGGAGGGATGCTCCACTCCCTCCTTCATGTGGAGGACATCTGTCCACATGACTGTGCTGACTGTGTGCCTGGCAGGAGTGCAGCCTCAGGGGTACAACAGTGACTATCTCCTAAGATAGGAAAGGTTCGGACCCGCACGGCTGTTTACAGTCTGGTTGGGGAGGCAGACTATAAACAACTAAAAGCAGCAAGGCAACCCAGTCAGCAGGTCTGGCCCGGCCGGCTCCCAGCTCTCTCCTGCTCGGGTCTGCTGGCCCCCTCCTCACCGCCCCCTCTCTGCTCAGGCCTCCATCACCTCTTACCTCCTGCCCGCCTGCTCCCACCCTGCCCAGCAGCCCACCCCCGGCCATCCCATCCACACAGGACCTGTGCAAAATGACAACCAGACCACGCGACTTCTGTCTTAAAAAACCAACCCCCCTACCCTGGCTTCCTGAAACCCTTAGAAGAAAACTCAGTTTTATTTTACTACAGCCTCCACCACGCTGTGCGATCTGTGACCTGCTCTCTGCCCTGAACTCACCTCACACCTCCACTGTTCTCGACCCCTGCACGTGCTGAGCTTGTTTCTACCTCAGGGCCTTTGCACTTGCCACCTCCTCTGCCTGATCTTCGTGTGACTGACCACTTCCTGTTGTCCCTGTCTTGACCCAGACATCGCCTCTGGAGAGGCTTTTCCCAAGTGCCCACAGTGCGGTGGGCCCTTGCTGGCCCCGAGTGGACGTGCTTTCTTCACGGAGCTCATTACTCCATGACTTTATTCCATTCGTGTCCTGACTTGGAAGGCCTCACCTGACATGGAAGGCAAGTTCCGAGGGAACAGAAAGTTCCTCGGGCTCCCTCATCCCGGCACCTGGGGCACCTAGCTGGGGCTTCTCCACCAGTCCTTGGGGAATTTGTGCCAGAAGGAAGAGGAGCTGGGGCTGGCTGCACTGGGGGGAGGGAGGGATCGAGACAAGGGCTCCTGAGCTACAACTGGGTGAGGTGCGGAGCCCAGGCACCGACTGCCCGGCAGGGACAGGCCTCCCGGACCCGAGCTGAGCAGGAAGGCGGGTCTTCGGGGGGCGGCACCTTGAGCCAGTTGTGTGATCTCTTGGCGATCTCGTAGGTGGCATCGGTGTCCAGGGTCTTCACCATCAGCCCCTCGCATGAGTCTGAGGGAGACATGAGAGGCCTGTGGAGGGCCGGCTACCCCCTGCCCCCAACACAGGCAGGAGTCTGGTCCGATACGGCGAGGGTGAGGCGGGGTCAGTGCAGATGGCACAGAGGGTAGGACCTTGGCAGAGAGAAGAGCAGGGCCCTCACCTTTCACTGACTGCTCCAGGAACTCAGCGATCTGCTCCGTGTCCTTGGTGTCCAGGGAGGTGGCGAAGACAAACTCGCCCTCGGTCTCCACGAAGTTCTCCCGGAGCAGCTGGCGGCGTCGGGAGAGGGGCTCACGTACCAGGGACTGCGGGGCAGGCCAAGAGGATGGGATGTCACCATGGAAACAAAGAGAAGGAGCCCCAATCCCAGGAGGAACCCGAAGTGGACGGGTCACAAGTCACGCAGCTTATGGAAATGAGTGTGAAGAAGGGCCTTGTTTTATATTTCCTTGAATTCTTTCACATCTGTCTTAATAGGGGCCAGACTCTCATCTCTGTGTCTGCCATCAGACACTGCAGTACACTGTTTCGGGTGCAGTCGGAGAGAAAATCCACCTTTCACAGACGTGGAGGAGTCGGAAAAGGGAGGGCCTCAGGGACCGCGCTTTGAGAACCTCTACCCGAGCGTGGCCTCGCAGCTGAGTGACATGGCAGAGTCGGACACAAAACTCAGACCTCTGACTCCCAAGCGCTCACCCCCTGCCCGCCCTGTCATCACCCAGCTGCCCGAGCTCTGATGCTGGAACTCACCTCTCCATTGAGGTAGATGAGGTCGAAGGCGTACAAACACACCTGCACCTGGATCTCCGCTGCGTCCACCTCCTGGGTCGGGGCAGATGGAGACCAGGAGTGGGGGAAGATGAGACGGGCCTGGCTGGGTCTCCTCCCGTCATGCCTGAGGCAGACACCCCTGTCCCCAACCGCTTGTCCCTTCTCCCCAGCTGACAGGCTGCACACTGGTGAGGGAGGCAACGCTGCCGGCCACAGACACCGAACTGTGATGGCTCTCAGCTAATCCTGACCACCTCATTCCCCTTTGCTAGAAAATTGCTCTCTCAGCCACCCTTGCAGCTAATGGGGGTGAAATGACACAGTTTTGGCCAGTGAGAGGAAAGAAGTTTGCTGGGGTGCGGGTTGTGGGGGCTCCTGGAACAGATCTTCTTTCATAATAAAACGATGTAGAAAAGGAGTCTTTTCTCCCTTCCTACTTGACGTGCTAGGAGGAGACTGTGATGGCTGGAGCTGTGGCAGCCATGCTGTAAAAGGCTGAGAGAACTGCATCCCAACTGACACTCTCTCTAGGATTGGGTAGGACTGGGCAGAAGATAAGGGAGTAGGGGACCACGGCAGGTAGCAGACTGGGGCAGAGGCTACCTTGCGTTTGCGGGTGGTGAGCACTTGGAATGGCTGGATCTGCTTCTTTTCCCGGTCCCAAGCCACGGCTTCAGTGTCCAGAATGAAGGATGTGACTGATGGGAGTTTAATCTGAAAGGTGAAGAGGGAGACCCAGGGCTGGTGAGAGGTGGTGGACGAGATCAAAAGACACAGGGAAACAAATACCCTTTGTCCTGCAGCTCTGAAGGTCCACTGACATCTGATGTCAGAGAGACATATATGAACACAGACCCCTTTTTTCATTCCCCACTGAGAGAGGAAAAATACTAAGTTTTCTGAGGACTTACTATTTGGTCCCCCAAGCTGGAAACCCAGAAGCTTCTGTCATCTTCCCCTTCCTCCCACTTCACATTCAGTTCCCCAGTGAGCTTGTCAGTTTCTCCTCCAAAATCTCTAAGCCATCCACTTTTCATCAGCTTACTGGGCCCAGTCCAGCCTAAGCAACAGCATCCTACTGGTCTCCCAGCTCCTGCACTGACCCTGTTTAATCCACTCTCATCACAGCAGCCTGGGTGCTTTTGGCAAAACCCAAATCTGTTTATTCCTACATCACACAGCTCCCCAAGGCTATAGCAGCTCTCCGTGGTCAGCCCCTTGCCCTCCCTCACCTCACCTGGCCCCTTGGAATCACTCTCTGCACCCCAACACACTAGCGTCTCTATTTCAGTAGGCTGTATCCCCCTTCAACCACAGGACCTTTGCACATGCCATTTACTCTAGCATGCCTGTCCCTTTCCTTCACCTCCACTGTGAAGACTTCCCTTCCCTCAAAGGAACACTGCTGTCCAGCTCCAGTGGCACCACTCACACTGTCTCCTGGGGCTACGCAAGGTGACCGCCCTGCTTTCCTGGCATCGAGTCTCAGTTGAGCTTGATTCTTGTAACGGCTCATAGAACGCTGGACGTTTTTTTCAGAGCCCAATCTCCACATACACTTAGAAAGGCAACAGCAGGACTCCAATGAGACCTGCTGTCCCGCTGTCTCTGTTAAACCCCCAGCCTCCAGCACACGGCTCAGCACAGAGCAGATGTCCAATGAACACCTGGTGAATGAGTGAGTGAAAGAAGCCAGATACTAAAGAGCCTGTGCTGTGTGATGCCACCCACAGGAAGCTCTGGCACAGGAAAACTAACTTGCCCCAATGACAAAGCGGATCTGTGGTCGCTGCCTCTGGGAGATGAGGGTGGGGGTAGGGAGAGGGGCCTGCCTGGCAAGGGGCACGAGGAAACATTTCAGAGCAAGGAAAATACTAAAATGTTTTCTATGTTGATGACATGGCTGTATGAACCTGTCAAAACTCAACACTTAAAGTCAGAACCATTTATGGAAACTACGTCTTAATAAAAGGGATTTAAAACAGGAGCCCCACTAATGCCTGTGCTGTGCGGTACCCTTGTCCTCGCTGCTCAAGGAAAGAGCTGGTTTCTCATTCAGTTAGGGGCAGGCGAGGAGACTGCTCTTTGGCTGAGGACCCCTGAAACAGGCCCAAGACCCCCTCAGGAGCAGAGACGCCCCCAGCTCCCGGGCTCCTTGAAGCCCGGCCCTTAGGCTGTGGGGCCGATCTGCAGGCTGACCCCTCCGCCCTCGTCCCAGACCCTCTCCCTGTCAGAGTGAGGCTCTCCCGGCATCCGCTGCACCGGGGTGGCCGTGGCACCCAGTGCTGGACAGGGACCCCAAGCTGGAGTTGGCCAGGGGTGGTGGGAGGTATATAGGAAAGCGTTAACTTTCCTTGTGGGAGGGGACAGAAGCCGGAACCCCTTTGCTGGCTGTCTGTTCAGAAGCGTGGCAGCCACTTGGAGACTATAGGGGACAAGCGTGAGGATGAAAAGGCAGCCAGCCAAGGACGGCAGGGGACGGAGAACTGAGCTGGGTTTGGGGGGAGATCGGCCTCCGCAGAGCCAGCCTCGGGCCATCCGCCTCCAGATTTCTTTGAGGAAGAACACCTGCAGGTGTTCTGTCATCTGCAGCCAAATGCACTCCGCCCTCCTCTCAGTGAGCGCCCGGCTGCGCCAAGCTGGCCCGGCCCGGCCTGTTCTCTGCAGCCCCACCCAAGTCAAAGCCGCGGCAGACACCCACCTTCGGGACGCGGCTGATGACGTCGGGGTACCTTCCCGTGTTGTCCTCCTGATTCCTGCTGAAGATCCTCACCTCCCCACCTTCCAGAAGGTGGATCTGTGGCAGCGGGGGAGGAGAGAGGAGCTCAGAGCCCAGCCTGTCCCTGAGGTCCCCTCTTTTCTCTTCTTGACCCCCCTTTTCACTGGCAGAAGGTTCCAAGAGTTCTGGAGGAAGGACTGGGGCAGAGACCTGAGTGAATGATCTCCTTGGTTCAAACAACATCTCCCACCTGTTTCCGGAAGCCCCTGCCCCCTCTTCCTCATCTCTGACCTGCCCTTCTCCCCCTGCAAGCATGGGTGCTCTGCTGTGAGTGTGTATTTTGATTTGTCTCAATGTTGTTATGCTGTAAATATCATTCTGGTTTCCATGATTTTAATTTATTTGTTTTAATACATTTGGTCACAGTCCTTGAGCATCTATATGCCATCCTACATGTATATTAATTTTTTTTAACAAGGTCATGGGGATTGAACACAGAACCTGGAGTGTGCTGAGCACGCGCTCTACCACTGAGCTATTACCCGTCCCTCTGCTTACACATAATGATCCCAAGAGATAGTTGTGTGTGTACGATGTAGACGCGTGACTTTAAATATACATATATTTTAATTCGTTGTCACCACTGTAAATCATTTTGTTCATTTTTTTTCAGGGCTATTTCAAAGATCCATCTATGATGCCATGTCGATCAAATCCACTACGTGTAACTGTCTCAAAGCACCACAGTGGGGCGCCCACCCCTAGGCGATGAACACAGACGTGCCCACTCACCCCCCCGAGCCAGGACAGAAGAGCCACCAGGAGCACTCTACTAGATCAGACCAGACATGTCTCCCGCACTGAGGGTCATGCCAGCACCAGTTATATGAACACACCCACCAGCAGGACACCAGTGCAACCCACATTTCTTGAGTGCCCGCTGCTGTGGGTCAGGATTTCGACGATGTTATCAAGAAAAATTAATTTTCAGAGAAGCCAGTCAGGCCGCTATGACCACGCCACTGCAAGGAGGCAGGAACTAAAGCCTCAAGAGATGGGCAAGGTCAGACGGGCAGTCAGAGCAGAGGCTGGCCTTGAGCTGGGATCCGAGGGACCCCCTCCCCCGCTCCAGGGTGCTTCCCTTTCTGCTGAAGGGCCACGTGCCCCGCCTTACCTGGGCCCTCTGTCCATCGTATTTGTACTCGCAGGTGAAAGCTGCCTCCTCGAAGCGTTTCAGGACCTCGCCGACGCCCCGGGTGGGGTGGGCCAACATTGGTTTCAGGGGGATCCCTGGGAGGGGAGGAGAGAGCGGGTTCCGTTATACAGGGGGCAGAGCGGGGGCAGTGGAGACTGCTAATTACACACAGGAGTGACGCGTGCAACGCTTGGGTCATGTCATCACAAGGAACCTGGCCACCCCCTTTTCCCTCTTCTCAAAAACTAGAACAGAGACACTAGCTGTGTCTGACCACGCACATCAGGGGACAACCTCGGGGGGATGAAATGGCGAGGCAGATGGAAGTTGGGTGGGTGATGCCTGGACCCCAGCGCGTACCCTCCTGGGCTGCCTGCCTCCCTCTGGACTCTAAGGGACAAAAGAAAGACATTGTGTCTGGCCTGACCCAGTGCCTTCTGGGGCGTCTGTCCTGGCAGCTCTAACACGGAAGGGGGAACTCCGAGGAGAAAAAGAACGGCTTTCAGCCTGGGAACAGGACTCGACTTGGGAGGAGAGGACTCTCCGGCTTCTCAGAGGGGTGTTATTTGAGCAGGAGGAGCCTGGAGGCGGGCTGGCCCCCAGCGAGGCTGCGGTCAGGCTCCGGAGGGGCCCGAGGGGGCGCGTACCTGGGCTCAGCCTGCAGTGCTCCGGGAGCTGCTCCAGGCCATGCGCCAGCAGCACAGGGACGATCCGGTCCAGATCTGGCACCTCGCTGGGGTGGGAGCAAGAATAAGGAGGGAGGGGTCTTTCTGTAACTCTGCTCCCTGGCTGCAAGATTCACTTCTGCCTGTCACCTCATCCTGGGGCCTGCTGCCTACCTCCCACTCCCTCTGTCACCCTGTTTCTGTCACCGTCCTCCCTCAGTGTCACTACACATCACTCTGGCTCCATCTCCCTCAATCTGGGCCTGCCATCACCCGCCACCTGTCACCATGAGACCAGTGATTCCCCACCTGGACTACACGTCAGAACCACTCAAAGACGTGACAGAAAAGTGTTTCTTCAAGGCCAGCCTCCGCCTCCAGAGATCCTGGTTTCACTGGTCTGGGGCAGGCCTGAGAGCGCTAGTCTGTCGGTCCCCACGCAGGGGTAGAGTTAAGGCCGCCCTGGCCCCAGGGGCTCTGTGGGGCTGTTCCCCTTGGCCTTGTGTGCCCAGCACAGCGGGTGCAGCCCGGAGAGGTGCCCCATGGGCCCTTGTGGAGCTGCTCATCAGCCCTCCTGCCTCCGACAGTCTCTCTGGGCAGTCACCGTCCCGATGCCGCGGGCCCTGGGCTCTCTCCGGAGCCCTCCCTGTCACTCCACAAATGCCCTCTCTGGGATTCTCACGACCTCTCACTGTGTGTCAGTCACCAGCCTTTCTGGGTCCCATGGCCTTTCCACACATACAGTCCTGTCTGGAACCTGGAAACCTCCCGATACTGTCTGCTCTCCTCCACTGCCAGCGCCTCTGCCTCTCCCTGTCCCTGTGTCACCATCCCTTCACTGCTCCACTTCCCCATGTGCAGCACCCATCTTGTCTGGATCCCCACCCCATGCTCTCTTACCAGCCCAACACTGGTCAAGAATGCTTGCAGCCCCTCTCACATCACCCCTGACCCCTCGTGCCCCACCCACCATCCCATATGCTCCACCCACCAGCCCCGGCTCTACCCACGCTCGGGTCTCACCAGAACGTCTGTTTCAGCATCATGCCTTGCTCCTCCAGCCACGTCTTTCTGGCCTCTGCTGTCTTGCCCTTCCCAGCATCCACCACGGCCGGGGGGAATTCTAAGACAAGGCCCAAAGGAAGAGGCTTTGGGATGGGCCCAGCTCCCCCCAGGGTCCACAGTAGGTAGTGGCTGCCATGGACAAGTTTCTCAGGGCAGAGGAGCCTGGAGTGGCAGCGGGAGGCGGGAACCACATTGGGGACCAGCCACAGGGGCTCACCTTGGCCAGGGGGTGTAAGGCTCACGGCCTGGGCGAGGGCGGCCAGCACTGACTGCTCTGCCAGTCCGAGGCGCAGGCGTCCGCTCAGGGCTCTGGGGAGATAGCAGGTGACGGGGAGCGGGCTGGTCGGCCCTGGACCCTCGTGCCCTCCACCCCTTGCTCCTGCCTCCCCCAGTCTCCCCCATCTCGACCCTCCCCTCAAAACTAGAACAACTTTCAGACCCTGAAGGGATCTGAGATCACACAGCCCCACTGAACAGGGGAAACTAAGGCTGGTCAGTAACAGTGATGACCACTGGCAGGGCCTGTGGGCAGAACTGGGGGCCTTGCCAGCATCTCCACCTCTCCCCTCAGCTGCCCTGAGAAAGCAGTGCAGCTCGGGGAAGGTGAGGCAGGGCAGAGCCGAGCCTGGAACTGGAACATGGCCTGTCCCAGGGGTGCCTGAGCATGATGGTCCAGAACCTGTCCAGTGACTGAGGGAGGGTAACCTCCCTGTGCCTCTATCACTGTCATGGCAACCATTTGGCTCCGTGCTTGCTGCCCCTACTCGGGCCAAGGCAGACATCACTAATCCATCTTGGCTCTCTACTCCCGTGAGCCCCAGACCCTTTCCCGGACTGCACTACTGAGCAAGGGAGCTGGTCCATGAAAGAAAACCTATGTTCCCATCCCGCCCCCTCGGGACCTGGGCTTCTCGCCCCCACTGTTCTCATCAAGGGTGGTCAGGGCGCTGGCAGTGATCCGGCTGCCAGTCCCTCCCTGCTTTCAGCTCTCCTCACCGGCCCACACACTCACCTGGCGATGAACCGAGCTTCTGAGTGGCGGCAGGCAACAAAGAGGCCTTTGATGATGTCCATCTTCTTGGTTGTGGACTGAAGAGAGAGAGGACCAGCAGTCAGTGCCTGGGGGTGAAGGCAGGGGAGGGGCCACACCACCCTGCCGGCCACACTGCCAGGGGAGCTGCCACCCTTGGGATACCTGCCTCTCATTTCACGCTGCAGTAACAAGCTCACTCTCCTCCCTGCCTCCCTCCGCAGCTTTATCAGCACGTATTTATGGGGTCCTAACACCTGGCAGGCACTAGATCGGGGCTGGAATCTCAGGGGGGGTTCCTGCAATTTTGAGAGCGGCAGGAAAGGCAGCTCTGATCACGCGAGCAGGGCTGACACGATCCAGCTCTCAGCAGTCTAACCAGAAAGAAGCCTTCTTGCCACTCGCCGGGCTTCGGGCCCCCTGGGTGAAGAGCGGAGGGTCTGGGGCATGGGGTGAGCCGCCCCGTCCCACTCACTGCATTGCCGGCCAGCTGGGCGATGTCCCGGAACTTGGCGAAGACGCCGGCGGCGGTCAGGGCGGGCGGGGGCAGCATGAGTCTCTGCGTGCTGCGGCTGCTCTCGGCCACCAGCCCCACGTCGCCCTTCTCTGTGGCCTCAGCCCGGACCGACTCCAGCTGCCGACCTGGGGGTTCGGGGGTGGGGGTGGGGAGCAGAGAGAGCAGGTGCTGAGGACGAGGAGGGGTGTGGCTGCGCATCTGCCCGAGAGATGATCTCACTTGCGAGATCATCTCCCCAAGATCTGGGCCGCGCGCATGCTCCTGGCGAGCCCAGTTCCTGACGTGCTACCGGATGACATCCTCTAGGACCTCTGCTACCTCCATAAGCCTTCACCTTCCGTCCCAGCCCCCTGCCCTGCTCTTTGCCTACAGCATCTTTCCCTGTGACCTCAGTCTCAGTGTCCCCAGTCATGCGCTCTGCCGGCACCCTGCCAGTCAGTCTGTCCCATCAGGCTCTCCAACACCCCTCTTCCCCGCACCGCTCCGTCATCTCCCAGATGCTCCTGGCCTCTCTCCCTCCTCCCTCAAGCTCCCCTCTTGTTGGCCTTCCACCACAGCCCAGGTCTCACCTGTGGCCTGGGCCACTGCCTTGAGAAGGATGCCGTCACCAATGCCCAGCTCCAGGCCCTGCTGGGGCGGCCCCAGGCGGTTGAGGCTGAGGTAGAGGACGGGGAGGAGGTCTGGAGGTGACAGGGCCACCACGGAGCGCAGCAAGTTGCTCAGTGTCTCCACCATGCGGAGCCTAGTGGGGAGAGGGATGGGGGTGAGACCACCCTGCATTTCCGGGTCAAGGTCAGGGGGAGTGGGGAGATAAAAGGAATCTGGAAAAGAGACAGGAAAAGGCTCAGGACCAGACCGGGTGTGTGACCTGAGCAGAGACACAATCACAGACCGCTGGAGGGGGAGGACTCCACCTGACAAAGCGATGACGAAGACAGTGACCCAGTGACCATCATCTACAGAGAAATAACCACCGATGCGGACGGATCATTTTCCAGGCGCGGGTTTTAAGCCCTCGGCAGCATTCCCTAACTCCCTGAATTCTCACACCTCCCCAAGTCAGGTATTATTATTCCATTTCACAGATGAAAAAACTGAGGCACAGCAGGACTATGTAACTTGCCCAAGGTCACAGAGCTCGTAAGTACCAAACCAAGCCCGTCTGCTCGAGGACCTGCGCTCCCAGCTCCCAAGCTGTGCTGCCTCTAAAAATAAAATATTTCTGTCTGTGTCACAGCAACTGTGGAAACGTCTGGGTTTACTGTTGGCAAACTTGGAGGGCCTCACTGAAAAGACAAGCTCTGTGTTTCTTAAGAAGTCCTGTTAACAAAGGCAGAAGCGATGTGAGAAACACAGGATCACCACGGACTTAACTGTGACGGGGAAGACCCGGCACCAGACACTGCGGTGGACGGAGCAGCATCCCCACTCATGTCCACACAGGAACTCAGAGGGGGGCCTTAACTGGAAACAAGGTCTCGGCGGGTGTAACTCAGGTAAGACCAAGGCGAGATCATCCTGGATTAGGGCGGGCCCTGAGTTTGATTTGAGTCCTTATAAAATACAGAAGACACACTCCTGTTGTTGGAAGCTACCGGGTCTGCGGTCATTTGGGTCGGCAGTCCTAGGACACTCACTCAGAGGCCAGAATTAGCGGGCGAGAGCTTGAGGAGAGAGTCCTTGCAGAGACTCAAAGAGCATCCCAACAAGACACCTGGGAAACTCACAGAGGGAAGCTCGGCAAATGGACGGTGGAGATGCCTGGACGATGGTCCCAGAGCCGTGTCACCCAGGGGCACGAGCTCTGAAAGGAGGCTGTGAGAAAGCACCTCCCGACGGAAGACGCATCGCCTCCCGAAGAAACAGCAAAGCTGAACAAGAGACATTCTCTGAAATTGCCGGACTCCTCACGAGTGTCGAGGCGAGGAAGGATAAAGACAGAGGAACTGTCGGGGAGGAAGGAGATGAGAGGTGGGACTGCTAAACTCAGTGCATCCTGGCCTTGCACGCAAAGAAGCTAGCAAAATCCAAACGGTCTGTAGATTCCCGACAGGCACGGACAGCCGGCCGACATGGAGCGCCAGCTGTACCCTGCCACTTTATGCAGGGGACTTGAGCACCCCCAGACTTTGGCATCCGCAGGGGGTTATGGACTCAATTCCCCATGGACACAGAGGGACGACTGTACTGACGTTAACGTCCTGGTTTTGGTCTGTCTCCTATGTTGATGTAAGATGTGAACACGAGAGGAAGCAGGTCAGGGTGGATGGGGACACTCTGTACTATTTCTGCACTTTTCCTGTAAGTCTAAAATTATTTCCATAGAGTTTAAAAAAATTTTAAACCCTCTGATTTCAGATGATGGGGTTTGAACAGTCTCCCGCAGTTCTCCTGAGCCAAGGGATTTTGGACAGTCTCTCCTGAAACTAAATGCCACACCATGTCACTTTTTCACTTCACAGTTCTCACAGCAACCTTGAGACAGATAATCAAGACTTTACTAGTGAGAGACCACAGCTCAGAGAGGTCAGGCCGCCTACCTGCTGTCACACAGCCAGGAAGAAGCAGAGTGGGGCCCACTCCCAGACCTGTCGGGACCCAGGGCAGGGCTTTGGCTCATCGGACCTCACTCCGCAGCCCTTGTGAGCCCCTCAGCCTGGCATCCAAGGCCCTTCCTGCGCCCCTGGTGCCCTGCGATTCCGTTGTAGGGTTTACGCCCCAGGTGAGGTTACTCCACATTCACCAAGACACACATTTGCAAGAATAATGTGTCAGGGATAGTCTAAATGTTGGAGAAGTGAAAAAGAACGTGTGAAATGTGAAAATGAAGGGACAGCACCAAGCAGTTCAAACAAGCTGAGATCTGCTTAAAGTAAAGTGAAGAGAGCCTCTGAAAACAGCAACAGTAGGAGCAGAGGAGGCAGACCCCACAATAACCCTGACATCAACTAAATGCACAGGGGGAGTGGGGGCGGGGGAGACAAGGAGAAAAGCCTGGGGATGGGGTGGGAGGGGGAGGACCAGGTCTGGGCAGGCCCAGAGCCTCACTGGGAGTGGAGTTCTCACTACAAACAAGACCTGGACTTCTTCACACAGGCTGAGAAAGGTCAGCAAGGCTGTGGCCACTTCTGATTTCTTAGGGTAGATTAAGTTTCCGCCATCAGGAGGTGGAGGCTGTTTTCCCATCCCCAGAATCTGGGCTCACCCTCACGCCTTCCTCTGACTAACAAACGAGGCAGAAATGATGGCATGGTCCCTCCGAGCCTGGGCCTCCACAGGGCCCGTGGCTGCTCCTGTGGTCTGTGATCTTGGGCGTGAGGGTGAGGATGAGGGTGCGAGAGAAGAGAGGTCAGAAGGGTTAAGCAGCTGGAGGCACAGGGACCGGCAGAGGGACAGAGCCGGAGTCTCCGCCCCTCCCGCCCACGCCAGGCAGGCTTGGTTAATTACCGAGCAGAAACCTCCTCGATCTTCTCAAAGGTCCGGGCCACGGCCAGGTAAGGGACCCTTGGGGAGGAAAAGAGACACAAGAGTGGTGTGCACACGCACGCTGCCCCTCCTGCCTCCCCACACCTCCCTGGGGACAGCCTTGCTGGTCTCCCAGAGCACATCCGCAACTCTGCTGCCCATTGCCCAGGGTTTCCTCTCTGTGCCCTCCAGTGCTGCCCACCGTGTCCCCAAAACACGGAAGGGAGAGATTGGACAGTTTCCTCCCCCTGCGGCCACCAGTAGAGGGCCTCCTGCAGTGACAGGGGCTGAAGGAGGACAATCTGGGGAGGAAGAAGCCTCACTTCTGGCCTGGCTTCCAGCAGGCGTCTTCAATGGGATGGTAGTTGTTCTTGGCCGGGTTGTAGCTGGGTGGGTCCAGGTGTCTGTGGAGGGAACAGTGGTATTACAGGGGAGATGCCGAGGTCAATGCGAAGTCATTCCTCCAGCTAACATTTATTGAGCACTTACTAAGTGCCAGGTCCTAGTGAAGGAAAATAATTTGCTAACCTGGAGCTCACAAGCTGGTGGAGAGTCAGGGAAAACAAACCAACAAAACAAAAGCAAAGAAATAATTTCAGGTATTAAAAAATATTTCAGAGAACAAAACAAAGCCAAGTAGAGGAAGAAAGTGGGATGGTACGTGCTACTTCAGAGGGTGGCTGGGGAAGCCCAGAGAGGAGGCGTTTGGGCAGAGTGACGTGAGGGAGGGCACAGGGCATCAGAGAGAAGAGCATTCCAGGCGAGGGCACCGCTCCTAGTGCAGCCTCGAGCTAAAGTGTGCCACTCACAGTAATCTCACTAGTGAGGTCTCAACTAGGGTGCAAAACTGATGTTAAGAATCCCTGAAGACCTAAACAAGCAATTCTCCAAGGAAGACATACAAATGACCAACAGGCACATGAAAAAAATGCTCAATATCACTAATTATCAGAGAAATGCAAATCAAAACTACAATGAGGTATCACCTCGCACCAGTCAGAATGGCCATCATTCAAAAGCCCACAAATGACAAATGCTAGAGAGGCTGTGAAGAAAGGGGAACCCTCCTACACTGCTGGTGGGAATGCAGTTTGGTGCAGCCACTGTGGAAAACAGTGTGGAGATTCCTCAAAAGACTAAAAATAGACCTATCATATGACCCAGCAATTCCACTCCTGGGCATGTATCCAGATGGAACCCTAATTCAAAAAGACACCCGCACAACAGTGTTCACAGTAGCACTATTTACGACAGCCAAGACATGGAAACAACCTAAATGTCCACTGACAGATGACTGGATAAAGAAGTCGTGGTATATTTATACAATGGAATACTACTCAGCCATAAAAATGATGAAATAATTTCATTTGCAGCAACATGGATGTCCCTGGAGAATATCAGTCTAAGTGAAGTAAGCCAGAAAGAGAAAGAAGAATACCATATGATACCACTCATATGTGGAATTAAAAAAAAAAAAGACAAATGAACTTATATATAAAACAGGAACAGACTCACAGACACAGAATACAGACTTGTGCTTGCCAGGGGGTAGGCGGGTGGGAAGGGATAAACTGGGAGTTCAAAATTTGCAGATACCAACTGGTAAATACAAAATAGATAAACAAGTTTATACTGTATAGCACAGGGAAATATATTCAATATCTTGTAGTAGCTTATGGTGAAAAAGAATATGGAAATGAATATATGTATATCCATGTATGACATTGTGTTGTACACCAGAAATTGACACAACATTGTAAACTGACTAAAAAGAATCCCTGAAACATTACGATTGGAAGAATTAAATCTTGATCAGGAAATTGCGAAGCTGAAAGAACTGGTGGTGTTTGTCTGCCTGTTTCGGAGGCCCACCTACAACCAGATCGGGAAATCCCGGACCCAGAGCGTTACTCTTTTCAATCCACTGTCCTCTCTGCTGGGCAGCAGATACTGACTCACCCCTTGGCTGCCTCCTTTCTTACAGAGCCAGGTCCCTCTTCTTCAGCTTCCTTTTTGACTGCCGGCTTTCGGGGGGCTGGGAATGAAGCCAGGAAACTGTGGGTCCTTCCTCCTTCCGATAGCCCCCACCTGCTGACCCCTCTCCAGCCAGCATCACCCCAATGCTCGGGGAGACGGCGATATGGCAGGAGAGGCCAGTCAGACTTTCTCACCTGCAGGAGGGCAGGAGGGATTCCTGTCTCTGGACGAAGACCCCCCTTCTCTTCCCTATGCTACCCGGAGTGAGGGAGAGAAACTCACAGAAGAAACTGCTGAGTGTCTTGGCAGCTGGGCGGGGAGGCTGTGTCTGGCCGTCCTCCTGTGGTCCCTGCTTCGTTGCCATCTCAGGCTTGCAAACACTTTCTGTCGGGGGCTCGGCTTCTAAAGCAGGAGGGGTCAGACCCTGAGACTTTTCTTTTTTAATCCCCGTCATTCTGACCCTACAGATGGAAAACATCACCAACTCTGCCCTTTTCCTTTCCACAGTATCGGCTTTGAGCCTCTTGGGCCCGATGCTTCAGTGCTAACGAACGGAATTCTAGCATCTGGCCTGACACTGGAGACTGACGGATAGTGGTAAAAAGAAATACCGGCCCTGTAAGCACTGTAAGAAGGAAAGGGTCCTGCTGCTCCTGCAGATGCAGAACGTCAGACAGGATTCTGCATCCTGAAGGTGTCCCCACTGCGTTCTTTCTACCACGGGAGTCTCTGGACGCCGGGACTACGTGGGTTGTTCTCTGGCCCGTGAGGGCAGGCCCAACCTCCAAGATCTTGCTCCTCAGCCTGGCTTTCTAACTTTAAAAAAACCACTGCTCAGTTAATAACACTGAGTGCCCATGATGTCTGGAAGATATATTCTGTGGGAGGATCACAACAGTAAAAACAGTCACAGTAATAGAACCCATGATTTCCCTAGAATTTGCATTTAAACAACACATTTGAGGATCTTATATAAGGCTTAGCTCATCTAGGTCTTACTTAAATTCCCTGTCTTCCAAAGACCTCTGACCCCAAAACCAGAGAGATGGGGCTGCAGGAAGAAGAGCATCAGAAACTCACCGGGGGTCTCTCGGGGTCTGGGGGGCGTCGTGGGCTGCTCCTTCGCATCTGCCTCCTCCTTTTTGCCCACTTCAGGCTCCGTGAGGCTTTCCAATGGGGTCTCTAGTTCTGCTGACAGGCAGAAAAGTCAGACGGCAGGAAGTCACTATGACCCCTCAAGGGCATTTCAATTCCCAAGGCACTGATCCCATTTGTTCTGCACTGGGCTGACTGGACTGTAAAGTGACAGGGGGGTGAGAGCCCGCTCCTGGGTTCCTCTGGGGTGACCAACCCCAGTGTTCGCCCGTACAGCTAGGAAATAGAGAGGGCCAGTCTTCCCTTATAAACCATTATTTCAGAATGATTCACCGCGAAATAGACTTGGAAGGGGTTCAATATGCAAATGAGAAACTTCTTAGAGATAAACATAAAGCTTTATTTTAAAGCTATTATTAAGTAATAATAAAAACTGCATCAACTAACTTAAGAAAAAAAATCTGCCTTCGTAGAAAGAAACCACCCACCACCACGCCCCCAGATACAGACAATGGCTAAAACTGCACGATCGACAGTAAAATTTGTACCAAATGTTTTTTGGGGGGAGAGGTGATTATTTATTATTACTACTTTTTAAAATGGGGTTATTTAAAATTTTTTTAATTAACTAGTTATCGGGGGGGGTAAGTAGGTTTACTTATTTATTTTTTAATGGAGGTGCTGGGGATTGAAACCAGGACCTCGTGCACGCTAGGCGTGCAATCTACCACTGAGCTATATCCTCCCCCTAAAATTTGTTACTGATTGAAAACGGCCAACAGGAAATCAGATCTCCACCAAATTCAAATCTTCCTTGGGAAAGAGGAGCTTAATAAGGACCTTTTATTAAACACACACACAAACCAACAGTGGCAAAGGCTACAAGCCTTCTGATCTCATGCAGGCCTAGATGATCAGCGGCTCGGGACTTCCTGGCTGTGCTTCCCCGAGTGCACCAAGATTCAGGGAAGCCACGGGGACACAGCAGGATATCTGACATTTTCAAGGGAGACCAGTGACATCTGTTGGACACCATATAAACAACTAGCTTCAGGTAGTCTAATCACAATTAGATCACTTTTCTTTGCAATTCCTGACGCTATCTTTCTGCAAAGCTGGGTACTCGGCGTGACAAAAAACCAAGCAGTGCACAAAAATCAACACAGAGCAGGAAGTGAGCGTGGCGGTTCTCAACTGGATTCCAAAGTTTGAGAAACTGTGCAGTGCCCAGGTGACATTCTATTAGTAAGTAATTGTGATTATTTAAGAATAAGAATATTTAAGATCAAACAGCATTTTTCCTTTCCATGTATGTGTATTATTTTCTCAAATGCCCAAGTTGCTAGAACATAAATGGTTGTTTGGACGTAACTTAATAAATGGAACAGTGAAGGCACTGGCCTTGGGGCACCATGAAAAAAATCACTAAGACACAAAGGGCACTGGAAGGTTGGGAACTTCTCTGCTTTCTGGTAAAATTTACAATAAAAACAAACCATGTAAAGGAAAGTGTTTTCCATACAATAAACATAAAAATAGAAGAGAAAACCAGGAAACTGTGTATGCATTAACACTGAAGGAAGATGGCCAAACGAATACACTCCAAAAAGCTTTGCTAACAAAAATCCCCATGTTGGGGTGTGGGACTCTGGCGGACAAGTATGGATTCTTGGACAGAGGCATCAAATCAGTGGGGTCCTCACACTCTGTCCTCTTAGACAGGCCCCCATCCTTCCAGGACCCCTGCCCCAGAGTCTCTGTTTCCCTTCCTCCCCCGCCCGACCCCCCATGCCTCACCTTTGTCCTCCTTCTTCTTCTTGGCTTCTGTGACCTTGTCCTTGCTCTGCTCTTCCAGGACTTCCAGAAATGTCCGTTTAGGAACCTGCTTCCGGGCTGGGAAGGCGAAGGGCTCAGTGTGAGCTATTCGCTGGCCCACCGGCCCCAGTGAGCTCAGACTCCGTGGTGATGGGGCTCCCGAGAAGGCCCTAGGCCCCTGTCCCCCTTGCCTGCCCACAGCCACTGCCCCGGCGCAGGCCTCGTCCTTCAGGCTTCACTGCTCCCTGGCTGTGTGTCCATGAGTGGGTCACTTAATCTCTCTGTGCCTCGCCCTCCCTTACCGCAGGATGGGCACAGTCCCACCAAGGGAACAATGTTATACCATGATGGACCATGCTTGGCCCAGGACCAGACTCCAGCAGATGCGCCCGGTGCCCCGCCTGCATCCCTAGGGTCTTACCATCTCTGTGGGGCCCAGACAGCTTTTCCGGATCCTTGGAAGTCCGGAAGCAGCAGGGAATCAAGGCCCTGGGAGGGGCCCTCAGCCAGTGACTGATGGAGTCGGGGTAACAACACCCCGGCTCCTCGTGCCTGCGTGGACAACGCTGAGGCCCAGAGCCTCCTCACCCACTGAGCTCCAGCTGCTCACAGCTGCCTCCCCGTCCCAGAGTCCCTCCCCGTCTGTGCTCTCCGCACTTCCCAAAGAGACGGCTCACACTTGAATTCTTGTTTCAGAGCTTCAGGGCCTGCTTCTAGAAGACGCCAAACCAAGCTACTGACACACGGTGAGGAACACACTAAGAGGCGGCTGTCATCATTTTCATCCTCTCTCACCTTCTCCCTGGTCTCCCGGACCCCAGTGGCTCCTGCACACGGCCCCCGAGCCACCTTCTGCCAGCCACGGCGGGCCGCGGCCCTCCCCTCCTCCCACCGCACTCCAGGATGAAGTCACTTGTTAGCCACCCTGTCCTCTCCAACCTCTCCCCGCCGAACCCTGTGATCTTCCTACATGACAGTCCCCTTTATTTCCCAATATCGCTCAACTGCTGTTGTTCCCAAACACACCAGGCCATGTCACACCTCTGCGTCTTCACACCCGCTGTTCAGTGGCCTTCTGAGACAAGGGTCAGATGTCACTGCCTCTAAAAGGAATTCCCTGACACCGCCCCCTCCCAGGGCCAAGCTCAGTGTCGGCCCTGAGCTGCCGGCAGGGCCTGAGCCGCTCCGCTATCCCATTATGACCACCTCTCCCGCAGTGGCCCTGCCAGCTTGCAGCCCTCCCAGGGCTCCCAGCTCCCCCAGGGCAAGACCCAGGCGCAGCCCCGCACGCCAGGCCCCTTGGGAGCTGGTGCCTGCTGCCCTCTCTGCCTCGTGTCTCCCACACACTACCCACAAACGCTCCCTACTCCTCAAATCGCACTTGATTCTCCAGAACACTGAGGTGATGGGGTTCCGCGACGTGCCGCGCTGTTCCCTCCCTGAGGCCTCTGCACAGTGCACCCCGAGGTATTTGCACGTGTCCTTCTCGGCTGCAACACTTCCCAGCTGCCCTTTCTTAATGCAGCCAACCCTAAGCCATCTTCCACGACTCAGCCCTGACATCACCTCCTGCGGGCTGGCTCAACCCTGAGCTCCGCCTGCGCCTGGTATCACCACTACTATTTCTCACACCAGCCCCACCCCATGGAAATACAGGGTGAGCCACCTACATCTTAAACTTCCTAGTAGTTACATTGAGAAAAAGGGAAAAAACCAAGTGAGCTTAGTTTTCATAATACAGTTTCCCTGAACCCAATATATCCAAAATATTATGACTCCAACATGTTTTGAACATTAAAAGACGTTATTAACATTCTTTTTTTATGCTAAGTCTTCAAAATCTGATGCACTTACAAGGACATCTCAACTAGGGGCTCAATTTTCATCAGAATTACTCCATCTGCATTTAGAGTTCATAGAATTTACCATGAAAAGGGAGACTCACTTATCCAAGTTGTTCCAAATGTACCTGGAAGTCTCTAATAACAGAATTCAGCATTGCTTTCAAATTTAAATGAGACAGCATTACAAATTCAGTTTCTCAGTCACACCCAACACGGTTCAGGGCCTCAGTGAGTCGCATCACCCTGCATCACTTGGGGGTCGCTCCGAGCCTCTACAAAATCTCCCCAAGCTCCCTGGGCACAGAGACACCCCTCCTCAGGCTGGCATTCACAGACCTTCTCCAGTCTCACGGCTGGCTGTCCCCAACCTTGTGCTCTGCGGACCAGCACACCAACCCACTTGCAGCCCCAAAGGGCTTTCTCAACTCGCACTCCCCCTGCCTGGAACTCCTCCCTTCTTGGTCCCTGTTTTTGTCCTTCAGGGCTCAGCTGGGCTAAGCTCTCTTCTACAAGTCCCCCTCGAGTCATGACCCCTCCCCTGTGCTCCCACAGTGAATTTCATCACTGCACATAATCACAGTTAAAGCAACAGACATTTACAGAACACTCACTATGGGCCAAGCCCAGTTCCAAGCACTTCACACGTGTTCACTTTTAATCCTCCCCACACTTCTATGTGGTAGGTGCTGTAATTATCATCTGTTTTACAGATAAAGCTCAGAGAAGGTAAGTCCTTTGCCCCAGGTCACACAGCCAGTGGATGGTGGAGCCGTGCTCTTTACCACAAGACTAAGCTCAGAGCTGTCGTGAGGGTGGCCGGATGACACAGAAACCCAAGGGCGGACAAAGTCAGGCAACTGAAGGGGCAGGGCTGGGGGGTCATTACCTGTGCGACGCTTTGGGATCGCTGGTGGGGAGAGGACTGCTGGAGAGGTGTTGGAGAGGGAAGGGCTCTTGGGAAGTGTGACAGGATGGGGAGGGGAGTTCTGTGGAGAGTCTGGTGCAGGCTTCTGGAAGGGGTGAGAAAGAGCAATTCTTGAGTGAGGGGAAGAAGGAGGGAGCACTCAGCTAAGTCATCTTCCAAACACTTGAGACTACAGAGGGACTTAGCCCCAGTTCAGGCCTCATCCCCTCTTACCTGGGCCATCACTCTACCCACCTGCATAGTGTCATAGTCCCAGATGTCCCTATCATGGACCCCAATAACAATTCTTTTTCTAAAGTTACAGAATCTTTGATTTTTAGCTAGGCATGATATAGACATTTCCCAGGGTGCCTTGCAGCTGGGTGTGGTCAGAAGCCTGAGGACTACATTTCCCAGGGTGCCTTGCAGGTAGGTGTGGCCAGGAGCCCTAGGTCTACATGATGCAATGTAAGGGGAGATAATGTACACTTCCCTTGGTTCAAATAACATTCAGTTAAGGGCAAGTGGGGTGCCCAGCTCTTCCCACTGGTTGAATGTGGGCATTCACTTGTACAAGGAAGTCTAGGGACGACAAGCAACAGTATAGAAGCAGCCTGGCTGACCCTGGCCAGGCGGAGTTAGGGGCGTGTGGACCACGCACAACCCCTCAGCTCTTCCACCTTCTGGAGCGCTATCTCCAGTTCTCCTGAGCAGCTGCTGCCCTCAGTTCCAAAGCCCAGTGGGAATGACGTTTTCTTCTGATAAAAATGGGCAGGCAGCTTACCTGGCCTTTGAGGGGTGAGGGGGCTTCCTCCTCCTCCTCCCCCTCGCTGCCCAAGACCCGGGCCACCTTCCTCCCTGGCCTCTTCACTGGAGAGTCGCCCTCAGGCACCATTCTATTCCGCTCTTTCAGAGCCGCCCTGGAAGGCGAGAAAAATGGGTTTTTTCCAGCAGGCAGAGTGGGGACCCTGCCCAGAACACTCCAGCCCCTTCGTTACGTTTCATTTCCCTCCTTGCCTTTCAAGCATTCAATGAACATTTTCCAGGGGCCTCCTCAGCATATACTCTTAGTCATCCATCCCTCCCACATCTCTGGAGGTCTCCCCTGTGCCCACGCTGCAGTGGGCAATGCTGAGAAGGTGATGTCCTTACTTAGGGCAGAGACTGTCCTCCAACATCCACCTAGTGACCTACTTTCTTTCACTTGGTCATATAATCTCCTTGAGTTTTAGTTAGGTCCATGGCCACTCAGCTAGGGACTATAATTCCCAGCCACTCCTGCAGTTAGGTATGGACACGTGATGAGTTCAGACCAACAGGATGTAAGCGTTCTGACTGAGGCATGCCACCTGTTCCTGACTGCCTGTCCTCACTGCTGTCTGACCCCTGGTACTCTGACTTGCTTGGATGATGCAGATAAGAGCATGAGAGGAGGAAAGTCGGGGGAGGCTGCCAGTGACACAGGCCACCGTCAAAATAAAGTGTGACGTGCACGCTGGTAGAGGTCTCTTAAGGGGCTGAGAATACAGCTGATTCCTACTGCTTTCTGCACTCAGAGCTCGCGGTCTGGACAGAGACCAAGGTGTACACAGACCACTCCTTACAGGTCAATGATGGCACAAGCATGTTACAGAATATCATCAAAAAGAATAAAGTGGGTTTATAGGAAGCACTTGGCTCTGAGATGTTTTCTGTGGGGAAAGCAAGCAGGCTGTCAAATCTCCGAGAGGAGTGGCTGTTGATTTTACTCACTGCTAACCCCACAGGGTCTAGAACAGTACCGGGCACACAGGAGATACTCAGTAGTTATTTGTTGAATAAATGAATCTATATAGTAGGACTCTACGAACATAAAAAGTGCATGAATGTTTGCCAGTATATACCTGCAACTTGCATACACAACAATCCTGCTTTTCTTATTTAAAAATAAATTAAAGGTGTATATTATTATCTGTTAGATGACAGGCCTGTACCAGCTCCTTGAGATATAACAGTGATCAAAATAAGAGTCCCTGCTATCCAATATACAAATGTGGGACAAATATTTACTGAGCACCTACTATGTGTTGATAACTGTGTTAGGTGCATGTATGTTTAACTGCATATAAACAGGGTATGGAAAGATACGACTCAAACTGGTAATAGCAGTTCCTCTGGGGAGTGAATTCTGAAAGGACTTCAAAGTTTTTACTTTACCCACTTCTCTGAGTTGACGAATGAACAATTACCATGTGTGCGTCCGCCTAGGGGTATCTGTGCTTGGAAAAACTATCTGCACGTGCGCCCAAGGAATCACACATTAGACTATTCACTGCAGAGTAGATTGTTTCAGCCCCAAATTGGAAACAACCTAAATATCCATCAGTAGGGGAATGCTAAATAATTTCTGCAGTATACCCATAAAATGGAACACAAAGCAGAAAGTGAAAGGGATCAGATGGCCCTCTGTGCTCACGAGTGGGAAAAAAAATCTCTAAGTCATACTGTTGCTGAAGAAAGCAAGTCGAGAAACAATATACACGTATGATCTCTATTTTTCAAGAAACTAAAATATTCCGCAGAAAATAAAATAACCAAAGCGTGTATAGATAGCAATGTAAACGCAAAAGGTGCCGATAGAAAAATCAAGAGTATTGAGAAATTATGACGTGATTCTTAGCGCTTACTGAGCGTCTTTGGTGAAGCAGGCACTTTTCTCTGTTAGTGTGTTAATGCATCAAATCCACACAGAAAGCCTGATAGAGATCGTGATACTCTGTTACCCATGAGGAAGCTGGGGCCCGGAAGTGAAGGTACTTGCCCAAGGCCCCAGACTGGGGATGTGAGCGGAATCTACCTTGAGTGCACGATCTGGAAAGCTGACTGGTCCAGGGACAGGGTCTTCCTGAGAACCTGTGACAAAGATGCTGGAGGAGAGAACATTGTTCTCTTCCACTGGACGCAGCCAATGGCAGGTTCTCTGCTTCATGGGGAAAGTCTGCTCCAGAATGAAGTCAAGACACCAGGACAGAGCCCTGAAGACAACTCTGAGGCCCTGGATCCAGCTGTGCCTGAAGCTGAACCCACCTTTGACCTTCCCAGTTACTGGAGTCAAAACTTTCCCTGTGGGGCCCTGATACATCTCTAGTTGGGATTATAACTCTTGCAGCCAAGAGAGTCCTGACTGATGAAGGAACAGACTCCCCACACCCAGGCCCAGAACGTACTTTGGAGGGGACTCTGTTTCTCTGGTGCTGTTGGATGTCTCCTCTGGCTTCTTCACTTTGCCTTCTTTCTTGGGCTGGAAAAATGACCTGGAGGAGCAGAAGAGGGGCAAAAACAGGAATTATAACAGTACCAATAACCCCTCCCACAGGTGCCACATTCTAAAGATTTCTATGCCCACAGAAACACATGAAACATCCCAGCAGGCAAGATAAGATTTCAAAGAACCCCCTTCGACCGATAGGGAAACTGAGGCTCAGATAGAGAGGCAACATTCCACTTATTTGCCTTTCCCAACTCACCCGCCACCTGAGAGATGACACACCCCAGTGTCCACTCCACAAGTATTAGCTATGCAGTCACTACGTGCCAGGGCCTGTCCTGGGAACCGAGGGGCCCCAGCAGCGACCCAGACACATAAAGCCCCTGCCCTCGAGGGGCCGACACTGGTGGGGGAGGCAAATATTAAGCAAGTAGCTAAATATAAAATGTCCGGAGGTGTTAAGTGTTCTGGAAAAGACAGGTACCTTTACAACTCCTCTGTACGTCTAAAATAACTCCAACATTAAGAGTTTACTTTCTCTTTAAAAAATCAAATATAATCCAGCAAGGTGACAGAAAGCAATCAAAAGTGCTATCACCCCAGGAGAGACTGTCCCCAGGTTTCTCATCACCTGAGAAAAATGCAGCCTGGGATCTGTGTGAGCCACCAGCTCCCAGGTCTCTGGGGTGACGTCCTTGTCCGGATCTGTCTAGGACCCATTCCCTCCTGGGAACGGCCCTCCACGTTCCTCTTGGGACACACCTTCCCCTAAATTCTCTCAGTCTCTGTGGGCTGCTTGGGGCTGCCCTCTCCCCGACAACCAGGGCGGGCACCTGCCCCAGACCTAGCCAGTCAAGGTACTGCATCCCCGGGGGGACAGTGGCTGGTTCAGGGACTGGCATGCAGTCCGAGAGGGGCCAACAAAACTTGACTCTAGATCTTGTTGGGACAGCAGGGAGAGAGACCACCTCTTTCCACTGGGGCTGCTGACCCTACGCTGCCACAAGCTCAGGG